ATTAGTTGAAATATGTCATCAGTAATATAAATTAACTGATTCAGTAACAATGTTTTGCATATGTAGGAAAATTCAGGCCCTTAATGTTTTAATATTAGGGAATGCAACTGTACCATAAACTGTAACTCATTTTATCTAATGAGTAGCCACTAATATTTTATTGTATAACATATACTACATAAAATTAACAAACAACATGTTTTCAAACCTTCTAGCTTGATGATTAATTTAAGTCAGACTCCCTCTCACTTTTTTTTTTTTTTTGCGGTACGCGGGCCTCTCACTGTTGTGGCCTCTCCCATTGTGGAGCACAGGCTCCGGACACGCAGGCCCAGTGGCCATGGCTCACGGGCCCAGCCGCTCCGCGGCATGTGGGATCCTCCGGGACCAGGCACGAACCCATGTCCCCTTGCATCGGCAGGCGGACTCTCAACCACTGCGCCACCAGGGAAGCCCCCCTCTCATTTTGATATGAATGAATCAGACCAGAAAAAATCTGTGGGAATCTTTAGCACCACCGAAGTAAGACTTTAAAATACCTCAGTGTATAAAGATACTATAGGAGCTATAAAAACATAAATATTGCTCAGCCTTTATTTGAATACAAGGAATATAATATATTTCAGAGTATCAAATGAACTTCTGATTATCAGTGTAAATACTGTTTTGTATAATCTAGATTCATATTTATTAACAAGAGCAACATTTCCTTAAAAACTGTAACAAGCTATAATTGGATATAACAAACTGCTACTAAATAATTATGAAGTTCTAATAAAGAACTTCAGACAAATGTGAAAGTTAAATCTTAGTTTAATTGCTCACCTCTTAAAATTTCCTAGATTCTCTAAGCCAGACTGCAAAAAATGATCCAGATATAATGCAAAAAAAAAAAAAAAAAAAAGGACCAAACTTTGTTTTGATCACATGCTGTTAAACTAGTGTTACATGTTATATGCAATTTTTTTTAAATGTTAAGTGATACATGAATTCATGAGTCAGTAATATATTCTGAGAATAACATTTTGGCTTTCTAAAATTTGTCAGGCTGTTCATTAACATACCTTACTAACAGTAAATAAAAGCTTTTGAAGAAAACATTTATTGAATGTCAGCAAGAATTGTGCTAAGAAGTAAGGATACAAGATGAACAAGACCCACTATTACTTTTAAGCAGTTTATAATCTAGTAGAGAGGCAAATAAACAGATAAGATTTCAGTTCTGTGGGGTAAGTCCTGGGATAGAGGTAAATGCCAAAGGGTACGGCAGCACATTGTAGAGGCCCCTGACCCAGCGTGGCTGACAGCGCAGGGAAGAAGGAGGCAACCTGAGAGGCTTGTTCAGAGGGAGTGAAGCCCTCAGTGAGTCTTCGAGATTTACAAGTTCTCCAGCGGGGAAGAAGTCCATATGGAAAGAGGCTATAGCGCTAGCAAATGCATAGAAACCACAGACTCTGCAAGATTCAGGGAACTGAAAGAAGCCAGAAATAAGACTAGAGATACAGACAAGCAATTAAGTCTGTGTGCTTTACTACACACTTGGGATTTTCTCTCCAAGGCAAGAAAAGGCCTGTGAAGGATATTAAGTAGAATAATGATGGGATTAGGTATGTAAATTAGGAAGGCCACTCTAGAAACGAAACAGAAAAAGACAGTTAAGAGATAAAAATAAAGATCCAAAATAAGGATATAGAGATAAGAGAACAACTTTGAGAGATAATAAAAATTGAGAATGGATAGGACTTTGAGATGGGGATGCAGGAGAAAAGGATGACTACCTGTTTTCTGAATTAACGTACTCAGTAGCTGATGATGCCATCCACTGAGATGGGACGTAGTGGAATAGAGGAGAAAGGGGGAAAAATTGTGAGAGGAGAGCTGGTGAGTTCAGTTTTCATCTGCTGAGTCCATAGACCTCTGTGCTTCCAGTCAGGGATGGCTGCCAGAAGGCAGCTGAATATGCAAGAATGAACACACACACTCATTAAAGACCATATGAATACAGCAGGCTACTGTAATATTTGCTAACATTTATTGAGCTTTTACTCTAAGGAAGGCGTGTGCTGAGTCCTTCTTATAACATCTTTTTATTATCCTCCCCACTCTACAGTTGAGGAAGAGTTTGAGGAATTTCCCCATGGTATTTAAGTGTCAGAGATGTTTGATTTCACAACTGAAGTCCTTACCTTACGTTGTATCATGCAAAATCCATTCATTACAGGTTTTAGGACTAGATAACAGTGGGTTCAATTCTAATCTCTGCTACTTAAGAGTTGTTTGAGCTTAATAGTCTCTAAACCATAATTTCCTTATCTGTAAAATGGTGACCATAACAAACACATGACAGGGATACGGTAAGGATGGGAGAGAATATACAGAAAATGCTAGAAGTGCATTAAGTGCGCAAACTGGCACCTATTGTTATGTCTATGCCTAGAGAAAAAAAAACTCTTTCTTGAAGTAAAATAGCTATGATCTAAGTAAATTCCCTTTCATCTTATTATGAGCTCTCTTTTAATTTCACCCTATTTGTTCTATATCTTAATAAACACTAAGTATCATTTTTCAAAAAACTTTGAGACATTAATCAATATACTCTGGAAGATTTAAAGATTTCATTCAAACAGGAATCATTTCAATGTAATGGGAGTTGATTCTATAGTGAGGAAAGTCCAAATAAGAAAACTCAATTGCGATAAGGCATGGAGAGAGCTTTGGACTTGGAGTCAGAAGACCATTGCAAAGTCCCAACTCTGACTTGGGACTTAATAGACTCAAGTGTCCCTTTGCACATGGACAAGATGAACAGATGAGCCTGTATGTTCTTATAAGTCTAAGAATGCTGAAGAAGAAGGCTTTATGATGTTTATAAAAACCAAAGCAATTAAGCCATGAACACTTGATGCAAGCTTCAAGTTTCCTGTGGTTTAAAGCGGAAGTGCCCACTCTTGACGGCCTATCAAACCACTCCACAGATCAGGAGCTGTCAATTTGACTCTGACGGGATCATAACCCTCAGATGGAGAGTTCAGTGTTGGCGAAGGAAAAGAGAAAGGGAGAATGCAGAGCAATCTTTCCTTCTCTCAAAATCTCTCCCATTCTCACCACCGATTCAGCAGCTGGGTTTGAGCTGAGGTCACCCAAGACTTCTGATTCTCAAACCTGGCTGAACATTAACAACACCGAGAACTTAATTTTTTTTTCTTAAATACTGAGTTCCACAGCCCTAAAATATCACTGGAAGGAAACTCTATACGATTTACAAGTGCTGGGTTTCACTTTGTAAAAGGTGGTATGAAGCATTTGGGGTAATAACCTCACTCTAATGGTAAACCTAAAACTATATTCTCTTTAACCTCTTTTAACTGTATTGAAGCAAAAATTTGTTCTTAAGTATATACACACCCTAAGGTAATTAACTGGATCAACCATCCCTGTTTGCACAGACTCCACCTGCTTTAGCTTTGAAAATTCTATGTCCCAGGAAATTCCTGGGTCTCTGGAAAACAGGGACAGTTGGTCAGTCTAACACAGACACACACACACACTCACGCATACTTGCACACATGGACACAAACTTTTAAGTAATCCTCAGTGTGTTAGAACAAACTACAGATAGACAGTAGTCCTCTCATGAAGCATCTCCAAGATCATGTCATCATTCACTCAGGTACGTATATGGTCACACTTACAGACCTCTGACGTCACTGGGATCCAAAAACATAAAATGGCATGGGCGACATATCATCATGCTCACTATCATCCCTTTTGCTAGAGTCTACACTACCGATACTTATAATTCAATAACCGGAATTTTAAAAAAACTACCTTGAAGCCCCTGCCTACCAACTGCCTTTTGTCTACTTTTGTAAAACTCGAGCCATTTCTGAGGAATAAAATCTCTACTATTTGACAGATTTTTTAATAGCCTTATGGCTTTGTAATTTTTTGTTACATTTTTCCTGTAATGATGCCGTGTGAAATTAAATAATAATATAATATACAAAGAAATTAGATAATGGTCATGATGTCTGTCTGTAAATTAAAAACTTGATTATCATTTCATCTAAATGAAATTCTTAATAGAAAATAAATTAAATTAACTTAGAATGGCATGTATACACCAGAACACACATTATTCTGACTTTTTAAATTGAACTTGTTATAGAAATCGTTTCTAGAACCACATTATTATACACCAATACACTGTCCTCTATTGCCTGATGGAAACATGAGACTTTAAGTTCAAGTCATAATTATACAAGCTAATGGAGACTAGCATCAGTCTGCATAACACACACGTAGTAAGTACACGTATCTCCTTACTTGTGACATCACTAGCTGTCTGTGGGCAGAACAGCTTGGGCCGCAGTTGGCAGAACTGTGGGATTGTGAGGGAAGATCTCCCACTGACGCCAGTTCCACACACTAAAGAACTAGTGTCATGGAGATACTACTAATAAGTTAGGAGGAAAGGCCATATAAATCCTTTCCCTTTGAGAAATCCGAATCTTAAAATAGTTGCCACCAATCTTGTGCATTCTTCACTCTCCAAAGAGCTTAGCAAATAAGGAAATCCCTTCAGGACTGTGGTCACCATCCTTGAAATGAACAATAAGCATGCTAGTAATATGCTTCTCCTTTCATGCTTCTGACATTCAACAACACATGCACTGTCCAAGCACATCTGGAATAAAACCCAACAAAGGAGGTGTGTAAAGTTGTTGAGACCGTCAAAAACACTCGGCATGATTTCAATGCCCTCATCTTTCTACCACTGGCTTTACAAGTAGACAGTCAAGAAGACCTCAAAACATGATATCATTAATCAGAAAGCGTATACATTTCCAAAGGTCTGTTTTATGATCTTGAAAGAGGATTTAAAAATCAACTAAAAAATAACCAAAAACTTGCTTTTTACAATATATTCTTTTTAGTATGATTTTGAGTAGTCTTACCACAATATTTTTCAGCAAAACTGAGATTGAATTAAGACTTACTGATTGTTCATTTAAATCCTGGGAGTCTTCCATGTGGTTTTCTTACTTCTCCTGCCACTCCCAAGTAGAAGCAGCTTCCTTCAATTAAAAATGGACTATCTAAAACAAAGAGATGAAAACAAAGTGGAAAAATGAAAAAGTTATCTTTCGAAATTATTTGTAAAATTACCAAAACTTTGATTTACATGATAGTTGGTAATCTGTAGAAGCACTATTTTTAAAGAACAAAATTCATTATCCCCATATCTGATAGAAATAATGATCTTGAAAATCACATCATAGTACAACTGAGATATATAAACAGCTACTCAGGCATCCTGCAGATAAGGAAAAACATCTGAGGACAGCTTCAGAGACCCAGGCTGTAATAAACACCTAGTCTGCTATTTTGCTGAGAGAGGTCTGTCATTAAGCAATTGACAGATTAAAAATTAAAAGTCTGCATTAACCATTCATTTTCTAAGGCACATAAAATTGAAAACATATAATGTGTATTTTAATATGACAGCTCTCTATTACAGGAAAATTTGTCTTAATCGCCAGACTCAGTTCTAAAACATATAATGTTATAAAATGCACGCCCAATTTTTAAAAGAGAATGAAAATAAGACTATTATGCTAAAGAAGGTATTACAGAAATATGTGGGAAGGACAACTGGTCAGTAAACTACTAAAAAAAAATTCATCTTTACTCCATATCATATATTAAAAATTTTCTAGGCAAACTGGAGTTTAAAAAAGATCTAAGAAAAATAGGCATATATATTTTTAATTCCCAGATAGAGAAGACATATAATAAAAGCAATGGAATATAAAACAAAAAAGCCAAACACCCCCTTGAGTTCCACACACACACAAATAATCGCAATTAAAAGATACATGAAAATATAAAAAGAAGTATCTCCGCAAATATCAAACTAAATGGGCTAATGTCCTTAACATACAAAGAGCTCTTACAATCCAAATAGAAAGGCACACACACCCCTACAGAAAAATGCTCAATCACCACAAAACGATATTCAGACTCACGAATAAATGAAATGCACTTTAAAATAGCAATGATACATTTCTAGCCCTTCATACTCTAGTTCTAAAATAAAATTAAAAGAATATGAGATTAAAAAATATTTATATAAAAAAGTGTTCATCATAGGCATAAACAGATATAAATTATTAAATGCACGTTTCAAGGAGTATTTGGTGACATCAAAAATTTCTGAGAATATAATTTCAGTGGAAAATAAGTATTCAAATCTGCAAACAATATGTTCCCAATTCAGTTTATTGAACATTCAACAGATGCAAGCGTTTTGCTCAGTTTTACATATTCCCTACTACAACCAGGTAGGCGTGGTTTTAATTTCTGCTTTGCATTATGGTCTACAATAAACCTGTTACTTTCCTTATTAGAACACAAGACATTTTAAAGTGTACATTGTTTTATGCATACACAAACACAGAGACACAGATCAAACATTTTTTTCTAATTTTTTTCTGATTTTCTCAAATTTTTTCTAATTTTAATTTTTAAAAGTCATAAAATGGTAATGGTAACATGTAATGTGATAGTCTCAGTAAGATACTGATTGAGAATACTGCAAAACCAGAAAAGTGTCATTTTAAAGAAAAGCACAATTTTAAAGTGCACTTAAGATGGGAAGGGGGAAGTGCAGATATTAAGGCACACTGAGGTGTTGCAGTATACGTCTGAATTCAGGACGACAGGTAGGCAAGAAGTTCTAGATTTAAAGATGTCATTCTTTGTGTTGGAGGCGGACCTGAGAAACAGTGACTGGAAAAAAGCCAACTCTTTTCCTTTTACCTCACACCTCCATCTTGCTTCTCCCATTCTCCCCCTTCTCCTCCTTATGGACCCTCATATCACATCTGGGTCTCTCTCTCTGTTCCTGCTTCCTGCTGATCTCTTGCTTGCTCCTCCTATCCTCGCAGACCTCCTGATCCTTGGCCCTGCACACTGTCCCCTCCCCTGGTGACCAGGACCTCCCCGGCTCAGCCTCACCTTGGATATGGTGCACACCTTAGGATGTATGGCCACCAGTCTAATTGATGCTGACCTGCTAAGACTCAACACCTACCAGCATCATGAGCCCTTCCTCTCTCCTCCAGGAGGGAATCCTGATGGATCATCTCCTTGTGATGGATGACCCATCACACCATTTTCTCCTCACTACCTGGATAACAAATTAGCCAAATACTCTCCTGAAGGGGAGAATCTGATGTTCCTTTTCATTCTAGTAGATGGGTAAGATGAATGGTAAAAACACTGTACCATAGTACAAAGGGAAGGGACACTATATTCAGCTGTGTAAAACAAAACAAAAAATTTGTATTCGTATTTCTGAATAGAGAAAAACAGACCCAAAAGTGAAAGGACACAACAGATTATGAAAAGTATCTTCAATAAATATTATAAACTTTGTGACCCTGAGAACAAAGAAATTGGTAAGGAAAAGTTAAAGAACCTTTTAAGGTACTTAAGCAAGGATGTGAAAATACAGATCATTATTTTAAATGTAAATAATAAATAAACATTTAGAAAAGTGTTCACTTTCACAGTTGGCAAAATATGTAAACTTAAGCAACAAGCATACATTTTGGATTCCTGTATACATCTTCAATAACTAAACCATTTTAAATATTACTAACACCCAGTGTTGGAAAGGATACAGTGAAAAAGCTGTCCTCATTCAACTGCCACTGATAATGTCAAGTTTTCTAATACTTTTAGAAAGCAGTCTGTCACTGCATTTTAAAATATGCTTAAATTTTTTACTCAATAACTTTCCTAAGGAGTAAACTATTCCACTCCAAAAGTCACAAGGTATTCACTACAGTGTTATTCATAATACAAACTAGAAGCAGCCTCATCTTTGTAGAGCATTGATTAAGCAAATTATGGTCAGTAAGTTTAATATAATATAATTTAAGGATCGAAAGTATAATTATAAAAAAGACATGGAAAGGGCTTCCCTGGTGGCACAGTGGTTGAGAGTCCGCCTGCCGATGCAGGGGACACGGGTTCGTGCCCCGGTCCGGGAAGATCCCACATGCCGCGGAGCGGCTGGGCCCGTGAGCCATGGCCGCTGAGCCTGCGCGTCCGGAGCCTGTGCTCCGCAACGGGAGAGGCCACGGCAGTGAGAGGCCCGCGTACCGCAAAAAAAAAAAAAAAAATGACATGGAAAAGCAAAAAGTTACTGATTGTATATTAAGTGAAAAAAATCAGAACACAAAATTTTATCTATGCTAACAGTAATGTACAACTAAGCGTGTGTTTGGATATTCATTAAAAAGAAACATTAAAAATAAAAATAATTTGATAAAGAATTATATCTTTGGCTTCACATTCTTTGATTATTGTTGATTTGATTTTCTGTGTAATAAATAAAAATTTATTTTTTTCCACCATAATACAGGAGCACAGAGTAAGTAAAACCAAATGATGCTAAAATGATTTTACAAGATCAGTTAAAAGCACAGCAAACAATGAAAGTGAATTTTCTAAGTAGTAGACACTTTCTCCAAGTGACCTCTGTGGCTTTCCCTATGGAATAAATTTCAAAGTCAGTGTAATCTCTTTAGGGCAGGTATTCTTTATCCTATTTACTAGTGTCATCTACAGCACCTCGCTCAGTGCCTGGCAAGCATTAGGTGGTTAACAATATTAATTGAATGAATGACAAAATTAATGGTGGATGAAATCATACATAATGTACTTGATGATGTGAACAAAAAGTGTAAACAGCCATATAATTTAACTTTTGAAAATCCTGTCTCAAATATGTGGCTATTTTAAGAAAAATGTTGACCTGTCCTGTGTTTTTCAGGTAGAGTCTTGTAATTTTTCAGAAAATCTAATGTTGAGATTAGTCCACCAGCTATTTTCCTATTCGCCTGACCTAGCAATAAAATATACGTACAATAACATGACTATTAATACCAATGTAACCTATTATTTACTTACAACATAGCATGCTATTTTAGTTTCCTAAGGTTGCTGTAATAAAAGTACTATAGACTGGGTGGCTTAAACAACAGAATTTTATTCGGTCATAGTTTTGACAGCAAGAAGTCCTAAATTAACACGCTGGCAGGTCCACGCCCTCTCTGGAGGCTCTAGAAAAGAATCATTCTTTGTCTCTTCATATTTTCTGGTGTTTGCTAACAATCCTTGACATCCCCTGGCTTGTAGATGTGTCCCTCCGATCCTGCCTCCATTGTCACACAATATTGTCCCCGCCTATCTCTTCACAGGGCCTTCTTCTGTGTATGCTCTGTATCCAAATTTCCTGACTCTTACAGGTACACCAGTCACTGGATTAGCACCCACTCTAGTCTAGTAAAACCTCATCTTAACTCCATTACATCTGCAAAGACCCTATTTCCAAATAAGGTCACATTCACAGGGAAGAGGGTTAGAACTTAAACATATCTTTCGGGGGACACAATTCAACCCACAACACATGTACAGTTATCACACTAAAATGATTATTAAGATGTGATCAAGGTTTAAATGTAATATTTCCAGAAAGAATACACAGGAAGTAAATTAAGGATACTGATCATTAGGAAAGAAGGGATCCTCTTCCAGAAGGGCCACCATCTCAGGGCACTGGTGAAATTTCAAGTGAAATTAAAAATTAAGACTTCAAGAAAGATGTTCAAGCATAAGAGAATTAAGCAAAAACTAGCCTTTTTCTGTTAACCACTGGTTCAGAATCTATTTAATGTTCCAGTTGGGGAGCTATTTGCATCAATGTTCCATGTTATAACATAATACTTCGCTTTATAATTCCGTAAAATTGACATTAATTGTCACTTAGTTTAACTGTAACATGAATTTCTTTCTTTGCCAAACACACTAAAGTACTAAAATATTATGAGCCCGGTGGTTTTATATTATTGAACCAAGTAAAACTACTGGGCTAACTGCAGACACAGTATTATTTTACATCATAATTTAGCAATGGTTGTTCTGCTAAATCCTTTAACATTTAGTTTTCACAAGTATATGAGAAAAAGACAAGAACCCTCTTTGAATCAAGTAAGAGAAGTATTACCTCTTAATAAAGATATAAAAT